GTTGGCGACAGGGTAGATTGTTTCCTCTCTCCGAGAGGTGGTGCGCGTCCCCAAGATTGATCAAGTGTCTTGGATTTGGACCAGTTGACTTGTGTTTTGGCCTTAGCCTTGGGCCTAGAGAAAGAAGAGAGGGCAAAGGAGTATTTGTGTGATTGTATAACGTGTATAACTCTATTTGGGTTGGATTGTTCTAGCGTTAGCCCGGCGTAGCTGTCTGATTCACGGGGTCGATACTAACCTCCTGGTGAAAAGAACCGCTACCCAAGGGATACACATCGTGCGCCTGACCAACAGCGTGTACTGGACAACACACACCCTGTGCCAGCCAAGACGGATCCAAAGCTCTAGTAGCCTGAGGTCTGTCAAGGAGGGCCTATAACTGTTTTCTGGGAGAAAACACCGCATCGCCTCGTCACAGATTCGATTATCTAGAGCGCTGAACTCGTAGGTCTCTGTGCTAACAAAAGACAAACAAAACTTCAGTCTACATAGCGCAGATATGTTACTCAGTAGAACGTGGCATCGCAATGTTAAAGACCCGTACCTAGCACCCATGTCGGCCTCTGTTAGTCGAGGTTTGATGGAGTTGGTGTGGCGAACAATCTCGCCGGCAGCAAGCGCACGCTGGACCGTTGACAGTGAAACCTCTATGGCCTTCGCGATAGCCCGCATTGTACGACGCTTCCGCCATGGGAACGCACTTAACCGCTCTGGAATGTCAGTATGCTGTTTCTTCCTGCCGCATTTCCCTTGCCTTTTGCATTTGAAGGAGGGCAACCCACCACCTGCCCGACGATGCTTTACCGTCGCTCTCCACGTGCGAGATACAGAACTCTCACTGCAATCAAAGCGCTCAGCAGCCTGTCGAACGAAGTGTTATTGCACCATCAGGTCTACAGAGTGCTCTAGGAAAAATTCAGCTTGTATCAGGGGTCAGGTCTTTGTTGGACTTGCGTTGGCTTGCCGCCATTTCTGAACTGTGTCAATGCTAGTTGGGTGGTGACCGATGCTCGGCCTTCTCGCCCTAAAACTGCTCGCTGCTCGCGCTAATTCGGTGGACAGCACACTAGCATCTGCTCTGGGTTTCTACTCGTGTGCTGATTGGCTGATACTAGCCAATATAAATCAGCCAAGAAAAGTTTGCACCAATAATTTGTGTTGGTCAAGAAATGCAAAACAGAGTTCACATTGATCTAGCCAAGTAATCTGAAACGGAGGGAGTACATCATTCAGTATATGTTTGCAAATGCGTTTGAATATCAGCCAACCTCGAAGAGAATTGTATCTTAATCAACTGTAGATGGGATGCCGATTCACAAGGCGCGCTACCCGTGCAGTACCTTCCCGCTCAGAGATATCGTTTACCACCACTAATTCTCCCTTGAGAATGGTCAGCGTGACACTCAAGGTCACCTCGTGAAATCCTCGGGAGTTCTGAGGAATCTTTGTTCATGGTGATACTTAGGTGTTGGCTTGGGAAACACTGGAGTTTATTATATAAAGTATGGATTCATGATCCAAACCCAGGAAATCGTCTTCAAATCCTGCGTCACCTGTCCTCAGAGGGATGAACTCTGGGTTTCCGTGTGGCACTTTGAGCGCTAAGCCTCCTATGTCACAGACTTGCATGTATTCAAATCCAAGTAATTAGCGGGTTAAAGAACTTCAAAATGCGCTTCATGGAGTCTAACGCGAAAACGTCAACCACAGGGTTGCCTCTTCCAGTTGCCGACGTCGCTACAAGATTTCTCATATGTTCAACAAATGATCGACAAACAATATCGAGTGATATGTATGCTAGTTAGTTTAGAACATCGCAAGGTCTAATTTAAACCGATATGATAGCCTAAGTTGTAAGTCTCGTGCGTCCAATTCATCACCAAGCTGTCGCCCCACTGCATAAAGCTTATGTCTTCGGTACTGCTGTTTGCATCGTAAGGACACAAGTCATGTCCATCTGTTCCTGCACCAGCCGGATATCGTGGTCATCGACACGAACCAATGTTTCTAGCAGCAATCGGATCATTCCAGCTGCCATAGAGCCCGGTTCTTGTTGGAGGATGTTCCTTGTTTGCGGGGGGGCATACCAGTAGATATTAATCAATACGAAAAAGAGCAACACCAATTCCAATTAATAAAAAGCTAAAAAAGAACAATGTAAAGCTCGACAACTCCAGAAGTAGAGCGTTTTCCCCGAACACCCCCTATACTTGTCCACCTAGCTTGTCCGAGATGTACCGGTTGATCGCCGGGGTACTATTTTGACCTGTTAGCGGCAGGGATTTGCCATGCTTGTATAACTTGTAGATGGTCTAGATGGGGTATGTAGATCTACCGGTGTATACACCTTTGCCCGGCCATTGTTGGCCTTTTCCGCAACCAAAGTTGACATAAATTTTGGAGGTAGTTGAAGTTGACAAAATTCTGGTTGAAGTATCAGATTCATTTCAAGCAAATTCGTCTAATCTTCAACCAATGTTGGCGCTTACGTAAAACGTTTTGAGCTCGCCCTTGCGTCCTGCAGCACGACTCCTGTTGCTGTAGGTGCCGCAAAAAGCTTTCATTTCCCAACTCACCACCAAGCCTAAAGATGCCTTCTCAAGCTTCACTCAAGGCGCACAGCCCCGAAGAGCGCCGCAGGGTCCTGGACGCGTACAACTCCGGGGGTGACTGGCAGGCTGTCGCGCGCCACAACGGCTTTCCGCGGACGACAGCGCAGTACCTGGTGAACTCGGGCCGCGTGGAGAACCTCCCGCGCGGTGGCGCGAGGGGGGCGAAGGTGACGCCGGCGATCAAGGAGGCGCTCGAGTCCTACCTGAACGAGTGCTGCTCGTACACTCTGAACACCATGCAGGACCTCATCATGGACGACTTCCAGGTGCACCTCTCTACCTCGACCATCTCCCGCCACCTGCTCGACATGCTGTACACCGTGAAGCAGGTGAGACTCGCTTGTTACACTGCATTGTAGATGACGATTTATAACTAACGCTGCTGTACAATAATTGTCATCATAGGCTCGTATCGAGCCGTTCACGTGCAACAGTCGGGAGAACAAGGAGAAGAGGAAGCAGTTCGCCGAGGAGCTCGTCAAACACCACAACGAGGGCAACCTCGTCGTGTATTTTGACGAGACTAACTACAACTTGTACGTCAAGCGTACTCGCGGGCGCGCCAAGAAGGGAGAGCGCGCCGTGGAGAAGCTGCCGCCCTCCAAAGGGGCGAACCTGCAGATACAGTGCGCTGTGTTGTCTGCTATCGGCGTCGTTGCGTACCGAACGCATCGCAGCAGCACCAAGATGCAGACCAATGCCAACTTCATCGAGAACCTGTACGACGTCGTCACGGAGTCGGACATGTACAAGTCCGAGTATGCGGACAAGAAGGTCGTGATCGTGTTTGATAACGCGCCAGCGCACAATCAAACGGAGGTGCTCGTGAAGCCCCGTGACGACCTGGTCCTGCTACGCCTTGGACCCTACAGTCCAATGTGTAACCCTATCGAGAACTGTTTCAGTGTGCTAAAGTCGCACATTAAACAGTACCTAGCGCTCATGCGCGAGGAGATGCTGCAGCCAGGGTTCCAGACGGACGACGAAGGCAAGAAGCTTACGAAGACGGAGGCGCGCATGCGTCTTCTGGGGCGCGCGGCCCACGTGTCGATGCCCTGCATTACGCAGCAGTTGGTGCTCAAGATGGAGCTTCACGCACGTGACTTCGTCAATGCGGCGCTGCGCATGGAGGACATGCAGTACGGGATGTGACAGGGAACGGTAAGTGCGAGTCCCCAGGAAGAGTGCCATCTTTGGTTGAGGATTAGGCAGCTTTGAATGAAATGAATTTCATGATTTGGGAAATATTTTGTTAGCTTCAACTACCTCAAAATTTGTGTCAACTTTGGTTGCGGAAAAGGCCAACAATGGCCGGGCAAAGGTGTAGCCGTACAAGTTAGCATATAAACATCGAATAAAAGAAGTACGATCAATATCTCCGTCTCTGTGTCGATGCACACCTTCCACTTTGGCACACCTTCCTGAACATGCTTCACCGAACGTACAGTAATGCTCGCGTCACAGTCCGTGTGCCGCTGGTCGTTTTTCCGAAAGCCTTCACCTCATGAGGCCTGTTTAGTTCCGTGAGTGCGCCGCATCATATTAAGGGTGAAGCTACCTGGGGGCCTTTAGACACCTGCCGCCGTCACAACAGTTGACTGCTTTTCCTCACTCCTATCTTTGGCACTGGAGAAGTATTAGCACTTTGAACCGGCTTACACATAGGCGCTCAAACTTTTTTTCTTGTGATAGAGCTACTGTGCGGCTGGTACTTGACGATCGGGCACCAACTTCTTCCCCGGTCGCAACGTATAAACCGCTGGATATATTCTTCGAAAAGCTTTTTCTTTAATATACCGACACAGTACCAAAAAATTGTTCAGCAAATGCATTTCGTGTCCTATTTTTGTCATTACAATCTGACACCTTTGTCATATTGAACGAAAAAATGGCGAAAATACCGACTTTTGGGGGCGAGGGGTTGTCATCCACGGTAGTTCATGTAGTGGTCGACGAAGGTCACCATGTACCTATTGCCATTCCGGTCTACGGGAGTTATCGGCCCCTTAAGGTAGATGCATATGACCCCGCCAGTCCTGTCGATGAGCGGGGTCTGCCCGAGTCTTTCTTCGGCTATGCGTTCCTCATCTATTGCCCTTGGCGCACATCAAAAACGACCCTCGTCCTATCCGTCAGCTCAATACCGAATCCCGGCGTTTCGGCAATCGTTTTCGACCGTTCCCAGCATGACATGACAGAGTCAATTATGCAGCTCCACTAACGTGCGCTTGACAACACTGGCCTGCCCACCGTCACTATCTGCTTGGTCGAGTGCAGCAAAAACCCTGTTGCTTCTCTCCTTGCGTGAACTCGCGTTGCTTGCGATGGTCGTTCCCACTGCGCAGGCCGTGCTCGCCACCAGGACGTCGCTCTCCTTGCACATCTCGATCAGGTGTCCGAGGCCCTCGACAGTTTTCCTTGTAAATCATCATGATGTCCTTCTCTTCGATTCCGTGCGAGACCCTGTGTGTAGTAAGCATTGCGGATAACCTCATCGTACTCTCTACTATCTAAAGTAGCATGCAGCACCATGCCGCTCTTCTTCGTGGCGGAGAGCGTCTGGCCGTCCGCGACCCTGTCAACTCCACTGTCGAGAACGTATGTCGTGCCGCAGCCGTCCCTCACGGCCAAAGCGAACATTGCTTGGCCGGAGCTGCTCAGCCCTGGAGAGTTTTTTATGTACCCGTACTTGCGGGTCGAACACTCCTTTTTATTCCCCTTCACAACGACATTTGTCATCATGTTGCCATCGCGTCCAGCACCATGCGTGCTACGGTTGTTGGGGTTCTCGCCAAAGTGGCTGCCCCCGTCCAGCTCGAACGTGCTGGCAATGTCGTCCAGCACCCATGCCTGCCTTTGGTGGTCCGCACGTCGCCTATCCATGCGCATCGGGACCATCCTTTTTATGTTGAGCGGGGTGCAGTCACAGATGAACTGCAGGTCCAAGCGGTCGGCAGCTCTTGTCACTGCACATCAGATACAGATACTGTTCTGTCCAGCTGCTGTTGGGTCTCTTCCTGGCCTTCATCAACCAAGAGGTCTGCTCAATCGTGATCTCCTTCGCGTACACCTCCAGCCTTCTGTTCATCATGTGCTCGAGTGTGGGTGCCTCCACCGCCCAGAATGCCTTCATCCTGTCGAAGCACTTCCGCGCTGGGCCCTCCAGGTAGCGGTTCAGTACCCGCACTTTAAACTTATCCAGCCGGTTGCCCCCGCTGATCACCTGAGCAGCCACCAGCTCGTCCAAGAACCGGAGGCCCCAATCCCTGAAGCCCGCCCCGAGTCCTTCGTACTCCGATTTGCCGGAGAAGCTCTCGAGCGGAGGGGATTCATGTCCTTAAGCGCCGGCACATTCAACCCCGAGTTCTGTGGCGGCGCTAACTGCTACTGGTATGCCGGCGGCTGCGGCGGGTGTGGCAGTTGCTGCAGCGCCTGAGAGAACGGACCTGATGCGCTGGCGCGTAAGCCGGCCCCTGGAAGGCCCCTGGTCCATTCGCCTAAATGCTCACTACCGTTTTTTTATTATTCACAGTTTAATAAGACAGACTGCATGTACTTATTGGTTGGGTATGGTAATAGTAAACGCAATTGTATTTAGGGGTGCTAATCGGGCAACATGCAAAGTGGCTAAACTGCTTGAGATCATAGTGATATAGAAAATATATGCAAGAATGAAGGGCATTGAGAGCAGTAAACAATGCGATAATACTCTTTTTATGGTTATGTTCATAAGTCTACCAAAGAGTACAGAGCTACTCACCTAAGGAGCTTCGAACAACAATGCTACATAGCAGTCACAGCGGGGCCGGCGTCGACATCTTTAGAGAGGCCAGAGTCTCAACAGTCCCTATCTAATGAGTTGACATAATATTGCATCATACACGTGCTCATATCAGTTACCACAATAGCCATGCACTGTCCACCTTGATAGCTCTGTAGAATCGCCGGGGTTGCTGGTGATGCTATTGAGGGCATTCACCCAGCCCGCACTGCACCCATATAATTTAGTCCCCATTTTTGTCAACCATCGAACTGAGCACCGTGTCTGCACGAACAAACTTAACCAATAAGTAGTCCCTTGTCGTCGGTTTCAACTACAGTACGCTTGTAGCTTTCAGCACTGAGTATACGAGAATACAATAGTCCGATAAATACTGCTCAACTGAGGGCAAAAGTTAATCAATGTATTAGTGTCATTGGTTGATGCCAATTCATGTGCCCGCACCTGCTCTACCTCCATAAGTCGCGGTTGTACTGCGGTCACAACAGCATATCGGGCGGGGGAGAGACTTTCCAGCTCGACCGTGAGCACCAGCATTGCTGATGTTAAAAGCTCTCACGTTTAGTAGACACCGGTGGGACATAAAAAATGTCCATGTATTGCGTGTGCCTTGGTGCCTTTCTCGTCTTGAATACCATCCCACGCTGGTGGTCTTTCAAGGACGGTCGATCTAAATTCGATACATGTCAATCCCGTCGCAGCTGTCAACGCCTCCCCGCGCTGAAGCTTGACGAGAACTAGTACTAAATGCGAATAATTGACGTTGCGACCAGTCGCGACGTGAGTGCAGAGTACTCTTTCACAACCTGGCCGAACAGATGTCACACAGCAGACAAAGTTAGCATAGACTTCTGCAGCTCTTTCGTGACGGCCCTGAACTTATCAAAGGTCTTTACCACCGCCTTGACTCACTCGTGCTCAGAACGCTGCAGTATAAGCTGCTGTAGTTCTTACTCAACACGAAGGTTATGCCCCAACTTGATTATGGCGGGTTAGAGCTTCGGATAGCGCGCCACTTTATCGTATGTGCTAGTCTAGCAATTGTCGTTTCGTAACAGAGGCGACAGAAGGGAGACACGGCGTAGCAAACCGAGCGCCCCTTATGTGTTATCAGCTTGGATGTCACCGCGTGCACCTTTGCAATGAGCTCCTCCTCGGTCTTGAGAAAGTCCTTCACCGTCAAATTCAATCTGTACCTAGCACATCCAACGGAGGGAATAACCCCTTCTTTCCAGAGTGGCTGAAGTGCACCGAATGGCCGTCCTGGCAGTAGGAGGGTCGTCGGGCGGACAGAGTCGTTGTGCCGCCCAAGTCGCTCCGGCGCGAGCCAAAGAGGCGGAACACGCAGCGGACGAGCTCACGGTCGGGTTGTGGAGGCTGAGCGCGCCGTGCGCGAGGCGGCATGTGTGGAAAGAGCGTGCGATCGGTTTGGGCCGTGCGGAGGCATGCACGCGAGTTTTGGTGTGCGGATTGTGCGTAACGGAGGCGCGATGGGTGGTTGACGATTGCGGTACGGCGGAGAGTGCGTGGTAGCGTGTGGTGCGTCCGTAAAGTGGATTTTGTTGACGGGTGGGAGATGAGTGAAGTATCCGGGGATGTAGCTCAAATGGTAGAGCGCTCGCTTAGCATGCGAGAGGTACAGGGATCGACACCCTGCTTCTCCAGACGTGTGTAGTATAGTGGTCAGTACCTCACCTTGTGGCGGTGAAATCCCTGGTTCGAATCCGGGCACGCGCACTCTTATGCTCATTATGCTGCTTTTACGTGCGCGTTATGGACGCTGCGCCGCCCCTAGCCGTCGCCATGCACACCCGCCACGCTCTCGGTCCCCAATTACCGCTTTTTGTCGCCTTTCAGCCTACCGGCGTGAGCGGTCCCGGCCGCTCTCCTTTTATCGCCCTCACGACGACACTGCTGCGGTGCGACTCGATGGCATTGTCTTGTGGCTCGGTCTAGTAACGTAGTGGAGCTGTAGTACCTCCCGCGTCGTCGGAGCTCACCAGGCCACCGGAGAGAGTGGATGAAGCGCCCCGAATGGCCGTCCTGGCAGTAGGAGGGTCGTCCGGCGGACAGTCGTTGTGCCGTCCAAGTCGCTCCGGCGCGAGCCAAAGAGGCGGAACACGCAGCGGACGAGCTCACGGTCGGGTTGTGGAGGCTGAGCGCGCCGTGCGCGAGGCGGCATGTGTGGAAAGAGCGTGCGATCGGTTTGGGCCGTGCGGAGGCATGCACGCGAGTTTTGGTGTGCGGATTGTGCGTAACGGAGGCGCGATGGGTGGTTGACGATTGCGGTACGGCGGAGAGTGCGTGGTAGCGTGTGGTGCGTCCGTAAAGTGGATTTTGTTGACGGGTGGGAGATGAGTGAAGTATCCGGGGATGTAGCTCAAATGGTAGAGCGCTCGCTTAGCATGCGAGAGGTACAGGGATCGATACCCTGCTTCTCCAGGCGTGTGTAGTATAGTGGTCAGTACCTCACCTTGTGGCGGTGAAATCCCTGGTTCGAATCCGGGCACGCGCACTCTTATGCTCATTATGCTGCTTTTACGTGCGCGTTATGGACGCTGCGCCGCCCCTAGCCGTCGCCATGCACACCCGCCACGCTCTCGGTCCCCAATTACCGCTTTTTGTCGCCTTTCAGCCTACCGGCGTGAGCGGTCCCGGCCGCTCTCCTTTTATCGCCCTCACGACGACACTGCTGCGGTGCGACTCGATGGCATTGTCTTGGGGCTCGGTCTAGTAACGTAGTGGAGCTGTAGTACCTCCCGCGTCGTCGGAGCTCACCAGGCCACCGGAGAGAGTGGATGAAGCGCCCCGAATGGCCGTCCTGGCAGTAGGAGGGTCGTCCGGCGGACAGTCGTTGTGCCGTCCAAGTCGCTCCGGCGCGAGCCAAAGAGGCGGAACACGCAGCGGACGAGCTCACGGTCGAGTTGTGGAGGCTGAGCGCGCCGTGCGCGAGGCGGCATGTGTGGAAAGAGCGTGCGATCGGTTTGGGCCGTGCGGAGGCATGTACGCGAGTTTTGGTGTGCGGATTGTGCGTAACGGAGGCGCGATGGGTGGTTGACGATTGCGGTACGGCGGAGAGTGCGTGGTAGCGTGTGGTGCGTCCGTAAAGTGGATTTTGTTGACGGGTGGGAGATGAGTGAAGTATCCGGGGATGTAGCTCAAATGGTAGAGCGCTCGCTTAGCATGCGAGAGGTACAGGGATCGACACCCTGCTTCTCCAGGCGTGTGTAGTATAGTGGTCAGTACCTCACCTTGTGGCGGTGAAATCCCTGGTTCGAATCCGGGCACGCGCACTCTTATGCTCATTATGCTGCTTTTACGTGCGCGTTATGGACGCTGCGCCGCCCCTAGCCGTCGCCATGCACACCCGCCACGCTCTCGGTCCCCAATTACCGCTTTTTGTCGCCTTTCAGCCTACCGGCGTGAGCGGTCCCGGCCGCTCTCCTTTTATCGCCCTCACGACGACACTGCTGCGGTGCGACTCGATGGCATTGTCTTGTGGCTCGGTCTAGTAACGTAGTGGAGCTGTAGTACCTCCCGCGTCGTCGGAGCTCACCAGGCCACCGGAGAGAGTGGATGAAGCGCCCCGAATGGCCGTCCTGGCAGTAGGAGGGTCGTCCGGCGGACAGTCGTTGTGCCGTCCAAGTCGCTCCGGCGCGAGCCAAAGAGGCGGAACACGCAGCGGACGAGCTCACGGTCGGGTTGTGGAGGCTGAGCGCGCCGTGCGCGAGGCGGCATGTGTGGAAAGAGCGTGCGATCGGTTTGGGCCGTGCGGAGGCATGTACGCGAGTTTTGGTGTGCGGATTGTGCGTAACGGAGGCGCGATGGGTGGTTGACGATTGCGGTACGGCGGAGAGTGCGTGGTAGCGTGTGGTGCGTCCGTAAAGTGGATTTTGTTGACGGGTGGGAGACGAGTAAAGTATCCGGGGATGTAGCTCAAATGGTAGAGCGCTCGCTTAGCATGCGAGAGGTACAGGGATCGATACCCTGCTTCTCCAGGCGTGTGTAGTATAGTGGTCAGTACCTCACCTTGTGGCGGTGAAATCCCTGGTTCGAATCCGGGCACGCGCACTCTTATGCTCATTATGCTGCTTTTACGTGCGCGTTATGGACGCTGCGCCGCCCCTAGCCGTCGCCATGCACACCCGCCACGCTCTCGGTCCCCAATTACCGCTTTTTGTCGCCGTTCAGCCTACCGGCGTGAGCGGTCCCGGCCGCTCTCCTTTTATCGCCCTCACGACGACACTGCTGCGGTGCGACTCGATGGCATTGTCTTGGGGCTCGGTCTAGTAACGTAGTGGAGCTGTAGTACCTCCCGCGTCGTCGGAGCTCACCAGGCCACCGGAGAGAGGGGATGAAGCGCCCCGAATGGCCGTCCTGGCAGTAGGAGGGTCGTCGGGCGGACAGAGTCGTTGTGCCGTCCAAGTCGCTCCGGCGCGAGCCAAAGAGGCGGAACACGCAGCGGACGAGCTCACGGTCGGGTTGTGGAGGCTGAGCGCGCCGTGCGCGAGGCGGCATGTGTGGAAAGAGCGTGCGATCGGTTTGGGCCGTGCGGAGGCATGCACGCGAGTTTTGGTGTGCGGATTGTGCGTAACGGAGGCGCGATGGGTGGTTGACGATTGCGGTACGGCGGAGAGTGCGTGGTAGCGTGTGGTGCGTCCGTAAAGTGGATTTTGTTGACGGGTGGGAGATGAGTGAAGTATCCGGGGATGTAGCTCAAATGGTAGAGCGCTCGCTTAGCATGCGAGAGGTACAGGGATCGACACCCTGCTTCTCCAGGCGTGTGTAGTATAGTGGTCAGTACCTCACCTTGTGGCGGTGAAATCCCTGGTTCGAATCCGGGCACGCGCACTCTTATGCTCATTATGCTGCTTTTACGTGCGCGTTATGGACGCTGCGCCGCCCCTAGCCGTCGCCATGCACACCCGCCACGCTCTCGGTCCCCAATTACCGCTTTTTGTCGCCTTTCAGCCTACCGGCGTGAGCGGTCCCGGCCGCTCTCCTTTTATCGCCCTCACGACGACACTGCTGCGGTGCGACTCGATGGCATTGTCTTGGGGCTCGGTCTAGTAACGTAGTGGAGCTGTAGTACCTCCCGCGTCGTCGGAGCTCACCAGGCCACCGGAGAGAGTGGATGAAGCGCCCCGAATGGCCGTCCTGGCAGTAGGAGGGTCGTCCGGCGGACAGTCGTTGTGCCGTCCAAGTCGCTCCGGCGCGAGCCAAAGAGGCGGAACACGCAGCGGACGAGCTCACGGTCGGGTTGTGGAGGCTGAGCGCGCCGTGCGCAAGGCGGCATGTGTGGAAAGAGCGTGCGATCGGTTTGGGCCGTGCGGAGGCATGTACGCGAGTTTTGGTGTGCGGATTGTGCGTAACGGAGGCGCGATGGGTGGTTGACGATTGCGGTACGGCGGAGAGTGCGTGGTAGCGTGTGGTGCGTCCGTAAAGTGGATTTTGTTGACGGGTGGGAGATGAGTGAAGTATCCGGGGATGTAGCTCAAATGGTAGAGCGCTCGCTTAGCATGCGAGAGGTACAGGGATCGACACCCTGCTTCTCCAGGCGTGTGTAGTATAGTGGTCAGTACCTCACCTTGTGGCGGTGAAATCCCTGGTTCGATTCCGGGCACGCGCACTCTTATGCTCATTATGCTGCTTTTACGTGCGCGTTATGGACGCTGCGCCGCCCCTAGCCGTCGCCATGCACACCCGCCACGCTCTCGGTCCCCAATTACCGCTTTTTGTCGCCTTTCAGCCTACCGGCGTGAGCGGTCCCGGCCGCTCTCCTTTTATCGCCCTCACGACGACACTGCTGCGGTGCGACTCGATGGCATTGTCTTGGGGCTCGGTCTAGTAACGTAGTGGAGCTGTAGTACCTCCCGCGTCGTCGGAGCTCACCAGGCCACCGGAGAGAGGGGATGAAGCGCCCCGAATGGCCGTCCTGGCAGTAGGAGGGTCGTCGGGCGGACAGAGTCGTTGTGCCGTCCAAGTCGCTCCGGCGCGAGCCAAAGAGGCGGAACACGCAGCGGACGAGCTCACGGTCGGGTTGTGGAGGCTGAGCGCGCCGTGCGCGAGGCGGCATGTGTGGAAAGAGCGTGCGATCGGTTTGGGCCGTGCGGAGGCATGTACGCGAGTTTTGGTGTGCGGATTGTGCGTAACGGAGGCGCGATGGGTGGTTGACGATTGCGGTACGGCGGAGAGTGCGTGGTAGCGTGTGGTGCGTCCGTAAAGTGGATTTTGTTGACGGGTGGGAGATGAGTGAAGTATCCGGGGATGTAGCTCAAATGGTAGAGCGCTCGCTTAGCATGCGAGAGGTACAGGGATCGATACCCTGCTTCTCCAGGCGTGTGTAGTATAGTGGTCAGTACCTCACCTTGTGGCGGTGAAATCCCTGGTTCGAATCCGGGCACGCGCACTCTTATGCTCATTATGCTGCTTTTACGTGCGCGTTATGGACGCTGCGCCGCCCCTAGCCGTCGCCATGCACACCCGCCACGCTCTCGGTCCCCAATTACCGCTTTTTGTCGCCTTTCAGCCTACCGGCGTGAGCGGTCCCGGCCGCTCTCCTTTTATCGCCCTCACGACGACACTGCTGCGGTGCGACTCGATGGCATTGTCTTGGGGCTCGGTCTAGTAACGTAGTGGAGCTGTAGTACCTCCCGCGTCGTCGGAGCTCACCAGGCCACCGGAGAGAGTGGATGAAGCGCCCCGAATGGCCGTCCTGGCAGTAGGAGGGTACAGTCGTTGTGCCGTCCAAGTCGCTCCGGCGCGAGCCAAAGAGGCGGAACACGCAGCGGACGAGCTCACGGTCGGGTTGTGGAGGCTGAGCGCGCCGTGCGCGAGGCGGCATGTGTGGAAAGAGCGTGCGATCGGTTTGGGCCGTGCGGAGGCATGTACGCGAGTTTTGGTGTGCGGATTGTGCGTAACGGAGGCGCGATGGGTGGTTGACGATTGCGGTACGGCGGAGAGTGCGTGGTAGCGTGTGGTGCGTCCGTAAAGTGGATTTTGTTGACGGGTGGGAGATGAGTGAAGTATCCGGGGATGTAGCTCAAATGGTAGAGCGCTCGCTTAGCATGCGAGAGGTACAGGGATCGATACCCTGCTTCTCCAGGCGTGTGTAGTATAGTGGTCAGTACCTCACCTTGTGGCGGTGAAATCCCTGGTTCGAATCCGGGCACGCGCACTCTTATGCTCATTATGCTGCTTTTACGTGCGCGTTATGGACGCTGCGCCGCCCCTAGCCGTCGCCATGCACACCCGCCACGCTCTCGGTCCCCAATTACCGCTTTTTGTCGCCTTTCAGCCTACCGGCGTGAGTGGTCCCGGCCGCTCTCCTCTTGTCGCCCTCACGACGACACTGCTGCGGTGCGACTCGATGGCATTGTCTTGTGGCTCGGTCTAGTAACGTAGTGGAGCTGTAGTACCTCCCGCGTCGTTGGAGCTCACCAGGCCACCGGAGAGAGTGGATGAAGCGCCCCGAATGGCCGTCCTGGCAGTAGGAGGGTCGTCGGGCGGACAGAGTCGTTGTGCCGTCCAAGTCGCTCCGGCGCGAGCCAAAGAGGCGGAACACGCAGCGGACGAGCTCACGGTCGGGTTGTGGAGGCTGAGCGCGCCGTGCGCGAGGCGGCATGTGTGGAAAGAGCGTGCGATCGGTTTGGGCCGTGTGGAGGCATGTACGCGAGTTTTGGTGTGCGGATTGTGCGTAACGGAGGCGCGATGGTGGTTGACGATTGCGGTACGGCGGAGAGTGCGTGGTAGCGTGTGGTGCGTCCGTAAAGTGGATTTTGTTGACGGGTGGGAGATGAGTAAAGTATCCGGGGATGTAGCTCAAATGGTAGAGCGCTCGCTTAGCATGCGAGAGGTACAGGGATCGATACCCTGCTTCTCCAGGCGTGTGTAGTATAGTGGTCAGTACCTCACCTTGTGGCGGTGAAATCCCTGGTTCGAATCCGGGCACGCGCACTCTTATGCTCATTATGCTGCTTTTACGTGCGCGTTATGGACGCTGCGCCGCCCCTAGCCGTCGCCATGCACACCCGCCACGCTCTCGGTCCCCAATTACCGCTTTTTGTCGCCTTTCAGCCTACCGGCGTGAGCGGTCCCGGCCGCTCTCCTCTTGTCGCCCTCACGACGACACTGCTGCGGTGCGACTCGATGGCATTGTCTTGTGGCTCGGTCTAGTAACGTAGTGGAGCTGTAGTACCTCCCGCGTCGTCGGAGCTCACCAGGCCACCGGAGAGAGTGGATGAAGCGCCCCGAATGGCCGTCCTGGCAGTAGGAGGGTCGTCCGGCGGACAGTCGTTGTGCCGTCCAAGTCGCTCCGGCGCGAGCCAAAGAGGCGGAACACGCAGCGGACGAGCTCACGGTCGGGTTGTGGAGGCTGAGCGCGCCGTGCGCGAGGCGGCATGTGTGGAAAGAGCGTGCGATCGGTTTGGGCCGTGCGGAGGCATGTACGCGAGTTTTGGTGTGCGGATTGTGCGTAACGGAGGCGCGATGGGTGGTTGACGATTGCGGTACGGCGGAGAGTGCGTGGTAGCGTGTGGTGCGTCCGTAAAGTGGATTTTGTTGACGGGTGGGAGACGAGTGAAGTATCCGGGGATGTAGCTCAAATGGTAGAGCGCTCGCTTAGCATGCGAGAGGTACAGGGATCGATACCCTGCTTCTCCAGGCGTGTGTAGTATAGTGGTCAGTACCTCACCTTGTGGCGGTGAAATCCCTGGTTCGAATCCGGGCACGCGCACTCTTATGCTCATTATGCTGCTTTTACGTGCGCGTTATGGACGCTGCGCCGCCCCTAGCCGTCGCCATGCACACCCGCCACGCTCTCGGTCCCCAATTACCGCTTTTTGTCGCCTTTCAGCCTACCGGCGTGAGCGGTCCCGGCCGCTCTCCTCTTGTCGCCCTCACGACGACACTGCTGCGGTGCGACTCGATGGCATTGTCTTGTGGCTCGGTCTAGTAACGTAGTGGAGCTGTAGTACCTCCCGCGTCGTCGGAGCTCACCAGGCCACCGGAGAGAGTGGATGAAGCGCCCCGAATGGCCGTCCTGGCAGTAGGAGGGTCGTCGGGCGGACAGTCGTTGTGCCGTCCAAGTCGCTCCGGCGCGAGCCAAAGAGGCGGAACACGCAGCGGACGAGCTCACGGTCGGGTTGTGGAGGCTGAGCGCGCCGTGCGCGAGGCGGCATGTCGTGCGATCGGTTTGGGCCGTGCGGAGGCATGTACGCGAGTTTTGGTGTGCGGATTGTGCGTAACGGAGGCGCGATGGGTGGTTGACGATTGCGGTACGGCGGAGAGTGCGTGGTAGCGTGTGGTGCGTCCGTAAAGTGGATTTTGTTGACGGGTGGGAGACGAGTAAAGTATCCGGGGATGTAGCTCAAATGGTAGAGCGCTCGCTTAGCATGCGAGAGGTACAGGGATCGACACCCTGCTTCTCCAGGCGTGTGTAGTATAGTGGTCAGTACCTCACCTTGTGGCGGTGAAATCCCTGGTTCGAATCCGGGCACGCGCACTCTTATGCTCATTATGCTGCTTTTACGTGCGCGTTATGGACGCTGCGCCGCCCCTAGCCGTCGCCATGCACACCCGCCACGCTCTCGGTCCCCAATTACCGCTTTTTGTCGCCTTTCAGCCTACCGGCGTGAGCGGTCCCGGCCGCTCTCCTTTTATCGCCCTCACGACGACACTGCTGCGGTGCGACTCGATGGCATTGTCTTGGGGCTCGGTCTAGTAACGTAGTGGAGCTGTAGTACCTCCCGCGTCGTCGGAGCTCACCAGGCCACCGGAGAGAGTGGATGAAGCGCCCCGAATGGCCGTCCTGGCAGTAGGAGGGTCGTCGGGCGGACAGAGTCGTTGTGCCGTCCAAGTCGCTCCGGCGCGAGCCAAAGAGGCGGAACACGCAGCGGACGAGCTCACGGTCGGGTTGTGGAGGCTGAGCGCGCCGTGCGCGAGGCGGCATGTGTGGAAAGAGCGTGCGATCGGTTTGGGCCGTGCGGAGGCATGTACGCGAGTTTTGGTGTGCGGATTGTGCGTAACGGAGGCGCGATGGGTGGTTGACGATTGCGGTACGGCGGAGAGTGCGTGGTAGCGTGTGGTGCGTCCGTAAAGTGGATTTTGTTGACGGGTGGGAGATGAGTGAAGTATCCGGGGATGTAGCTCAAATGGTAGAGCGCTCGCTTAGCATGCGAGAGGTACAGGGATCGATACCCTGCTTCTCCAGGCGTGTGTAGTATAGTGGTCAGTACCTCACCTTGTGGCGGTGAAATCCCTGGTTCGAATCCGGGCACGCGCACTCTTATGCTCATTATGCTGCTTTTACGTGCGCGTTATGGACGCTGCGCCGCCCCTAGCCGTCGCCATGCACACCCGCCACGCTCTCGGTCCCCAATTACCGCTTTTTGTCGCCTTTCAGCCTACCGGCGTGAGTGGTCCCGGCCGCTCTCCTCTTGTCGCCCTCACGACGACACTGCTGCGGTGCGACTCGATGGCATTGTCTTGTGGCTCGGTCTAGTAACGAAGTGGAGCTGTAGTACCTCCCGCGTCGTTGGAGCTCACCAGGCCACCGGAGAGAGTGGATGAAGCGCCCCGAATGGCCGTCCTGGCAGTAGGAGGGTCGTCGGGCGGACAGAGTCGTTGTGCCGTCCAAGTCGCTCCGGCGCGAGCCAAAGAGGCGGAACACGCAGCGGACGAGCTCACGGTCGGGTTGTGGAGGCTGAGCGCGCCGTGCGCGAGGCGGCATGTGTGGAAAGAGCGTGCGATCGGTTTGGGCCGTGCGGAGGCATGTACGCGAGTTTTGGTGTGCGGATTGTGCGTAACGGAGGCGCGATGGGTGGTTGACGATTGCGGTACGGCGGAGAGTGCGTGGTAGCGTGTGGTGCGTCCGTAAAGTGGATTTTGTTGACGGGTGGGAGACGAGTAAAGTATCCGGGGATGTAGCTCAAATGGTAGAGCGCTCGCTTAGCATGCGAGAGGTACAGGGATCGATACCCTGCTTCTCCAGGCGTGTGTAGTATAGTGGTCAGTACCTCACCTTGTGGCGGTGAAATCCCTGGTTCGAATCCGGGCACGCGCACTCTTATGCTCATTATGCTGCTTTTACGTGCGCGTTATGGACGCTGCGCCGCCCCTAGCCGTCGCCATGCACACCCGCCACGCTCTCGGTCCCCAATTACCGCTTTTTGTCGCCTTTCAGCCTACCGGCGTGAGTGGTCCCGGCCGCTCTCCTCTTGTCGCCCTCACGACGACACTGCTGCGGTGCGACTCGATGGCATTGTCTTGTGGCTCGGTCTAGTAACGTAGTGGAGCTGTAGTACCTCCCGCGTCGTTGGAGCTCACCAGGCCACCGGAGAGAGTGGATGAAGCGCCCCGAATGGCCGTCCTGGCAGTAGGAGGGTCGTCGGGCGGACAGAGTCGTTGTGCCGTCCAAGTCGCTCCGGCGCGAGCCAAAGAGGCGGAACACGCAGCGGACGAGCTCACGGTCGGGTTGTGGAGGCTGAGCGCGCCGTGCGCGAGGCGGCATGTGTGGAAAGAGCGTGCGATCGGTTTGGGCCGTGCGGAGGCATGTACGCGAGTTTTGGTGTGCGGATTGTGCGTAACGGAGGCGCGATGGGTGGTTGACGATTGCGGTACGGCGGAGAGTGCGTGGTAGCGTGTGGTGCGTCCGTAAAGTGGATTTTGTTGACGGGTGGGAGATGAGTGAAGTATCCGGGGATGTAGCTCAAATGGTAGAGCGCTCGCTTAGCATGCGAGAGGTACAGGGATCGATACCCTGCTTCTCCAGGCGTGTGTAGTATAGTGGTCAGTACCTCACCTTGTGGCGGTGAAATCCCTGGTTCGAATCCGGGCACGCGCACTCTTATGCTCATTATGCTGCTTTTACGTGCGCGTTATGGACGCTGCGCCGCCCCTAGCCGTCGCCATGCACACCCGCCACGCTCTCGGTCCCCAATTACCGCTTTTTGTCGCCTTTCAGCCTACCGGCGTGAGTGGTCCCGGCCGCTCTCCTCTTGTCGCCCTCACGACGACACTGCTGCGGTGCGACTCGATGGCATTGTCTTGTGGCTCGGTCTAGTAACGTAGTGGAGCTGTAGTACCTCCCGCGTCGTTGGAGCTCACCAGGCCACCGGAGAGAGTGGATGAAGCGCCCCGAATGGCCGTCCTGGCAGTAGGAGGGTCGTCGGGCGGACAGAGTCGTTGTGCCGTCCAAGTCGCTCCGGCGCGAGCCAAAGAGGCGGAACACGCAGCGGACGAGCTCACGGTCGGGTTGTGGAGGCTGAGCGCGCCGTGCGCGAGGCGGCATGTGTGGAAAGAGCGTGCGATCGGTTTGGGCCGTGCGGAGGCATGTACGCGAGTTTTGGTGTGCGGATTGTGCGTAACGGAGGCGCGATGGGTGGTTGACGATTGCGGTACGGCGGAGAGTGCGTGGTAGCGTGTGGTGCGTCCGTAAAGTGGATTTTGTTGACGGGTGGGAGACGAGTAAAGTATCCGGGGATGTAGCTCAAATGGTAGAGCGCTCGCTTAGCATGCGAGAGGTATAGGGATCGATACCCTGCTTCTCCAGGCGTGTGTAGTATAGTGGTCAGTACCTCACCTTGTGGCGGTGAAATCCCTGGTTCGAATCCGGGCACGCGCACTCTTATGCTCATTATGCTGCTTTTACGTGCGCGTTATGGACGCTGCGCCGCCCCTAGCCGTCGCCATGCACACCCGCCACGCTCTCGGTCCCCAATTACCGCTTTTTGTCGCCTTTCAGCCTACCGGCGTGAGTGGTCCCGGCCGCTCTCCTCTTGTCGCCCTCACGACGACACTGCTGCGGTGCGACTCGATGGCATTGTCTTGTGGCTCGGTCTAGTAACGTAGTGGAGCTGTAGTACCTCCCGCGTCGTCGGAGCTCACCAGGCCACCGGAGAGAGTGGATGAAGCGCCCCGAATGGCCGTCCTGGCAGTAGGAGGGTCGTCGGGCGGACAGAGTCGTTGTGCCGTCCAAGTCGCTCCGGCGCGAGCCAAAGAGGCGGAACACGCAGCGGACGAGCTCACGGTCGGGTTGTGGAGGCTGAGCGCGCCGTGCGCGAGGCGGCATGTGTGGAAAGAGCGTGCGATCGGTTTGGGCCGTGTGGAGGCATGTACGCGAGTTTTGGTGTGCGGATTGTGCGTAACGGAGGCGCGATGGTGGTTGACGATTGCGGTACGGCGGAGAGTGCGTGGTAGCGTGTGGTGCGTCCGTAAAGTGGATTTTGTTGACGGGTGGGAGATGAGTAAAGTATCCGGGGATGTAGCTCAAATGGTAGAGCGCTCGCTTAGCATGCGAGAGGTACAGGGATCGATACCCTGCTTCTCCAGGCGTGTGTAGTATAGTGGTCAGTACCTCACCTTGTGGCGGTGAAATCCCTGGTTCGAATCCGGGCACGCGCACTCTTATGCTCATTATGCTGCTTTTACGTGCGCGTTATGGACGCTGCGCCGCCCCTAGCCGTCGCCATGCACACCCGCCACGCTCTCGGTCCCCAATTACCGCTTTTTGTCGCCTTTCAGCCTACCGGCGTGAGTGGTCCCGGCCGCTCTCCTCTTGTCGCCCTCACGACGACACTGCTGCGGTGCGACTCGATGGCATTGTCTTGTGGCTCGGTCTAGTAACGTAGTGGAGCTGTAGTACCTCCCGCGTCGTTGGAGCTCACCAGGCCACCGGAGAGAGTGGATGAAGCGCCCCGAATGGCCGTCCTGGCAGTAGGAGGGTCGTCGGGCGGACAGAGTCGTTGTGCCGTCCAAGTCGCTCCGGCGCGAGCCAAAGAGGCGGAACACGCAGCGGACGAGCTCACGGTCGAGTTGTGGAGGCTGAGCGCGCCGTGCGCGAGGCGGCATGTGTGGAAAGAGCGTGCGATCGGTTTGGGCCGTGCGGAGGCATGCACGCGAGTTTTGGTGTGCGGATTGTGCGTAACGGAGGCGCGATGGGTGGTTGACGATTGCGGTACGGCGGAGAGTGCGTGGTAGCGTGTGGTGCGTCCGTAAAGTGGATTTTGTTGACGGGTGGGAGATGAGTGAAGTATCCGGGGATGTAGCTCAAATGGTAGAGCGCTCGCTTAGCATGCGAGAGGTACAGGGATCGATACCCTGCTTCTCCAGGCGTGTGTAGTATAGTGGTCAGTACCTCACCTTGTGGCGGTGAAATCCCTGGTTCGAATCCGGGCACGCGCACTCTTATGCTCATTATGCTGCTTTTACGTGCGCGTTATGGACGCTGCGCCGCCCCTAGCCGTCGCCATGCACACCCGCCACGCTCTCGGTCCCCAATTACCGCTTTTTGTCGCCTTTCAGCCTACCGGCGTGAGCGGTCCCGGCCGCTCTCCTTTTATCGCCCTCACGACGACACTGCTGCGGTGCGACTCGATGGCATTGTCTTGGGGCTCGGTCTAGTAACGTAGTGGAGCTGTAGTACCTCCCGCGTCGTCGGAGCTCACCAGGCCACCGGAGAGAGGGGATGAAGCGCCCCGAATGGCCGTCCTGGCAGTAGGAGGGTCGTCGGGCGGACAGAGTCGTTGTGCCGCCCAAGTCGCTCCGGCGCGAGCCAAAGAGGCGGAACACGCAGCGGACGAGCTCACGGTCGGGTTGTGGAGGCTGAGCGCGCCGTGCGCAAGGCGGCATGTGTGGAAAGAGCGTGCGATCGGTTTGGGCCGTGCGGAGGCATGTACGCGAGTTTTGGTGTGCGGATTGTGCGTAACGGAGGCGCGATGGGTGGTTGACGATTGCGGTACGGCGGAGAGTGCGTGGTAGCGTGTGGTGCGTCCGTAAAGTGGATTTTGTTGACGGGTGGGAGATGAGTGAAGTATCCGGGGATGTAGCTCAAATGGTAGAGCGCTCGCTTAGCATGCGAGAGGTACAGGGATCGACACCCTGCTTCTCCAGGCGTGTGTAGTATAGTGGTCAGTACCTCACCTTGTGGCGGTGAAATCCCTGGTTCGAATCCGGGCACGCGCACTCTTATGCTCATTATGCTGCTTTTACGTGCGCGTTATGGACGCTGCGCCGCCCCTAGCCGTCGCCATGCACACCCGCCACGCTCTCGGTCCCCAATTACCGCTTTTTGTCGCCTTTCAGCCTACCGGCGTGAGCGGTCCCGGCCGCTCTCCTTTTATCGCCCTCACGACGACACTGCTGCGGTGCGACTCGATGGCATTGTCTTGGGGCTCGGTCTAGTAACGTAGTGGAGCGGTAGTACCTCCCGCGTCGTCGGAGCTCACCAGGCCACCGGAGAGAGTGGATGAAGCGCCCCGAATGGCCGTCCTGGCAGTAGGAGGGTCGTCGGGCGGAGCCGTCCAAGTCGCTCCGGCGCGAGCCAAAGAGGCGGAACACGCAGCGGACGAGCTCACGGTCGAGTTGTGGAGGCTGAGCGCGCCGTGCGCGAGGCGGCATGTGTGGAAAGAGCGTGCGATCGGTTTGGGCCGTGCGGAGGCATGCACGCGAGTTTTGGTGTGCGGATTGTGCGTAACGGAGGCGCGATGGGTGGTTGACGATTGCGGTACGGCGGAGAGTGCGTGGTAGCGTGTGGTGCGTCCGTAAAGTGGATTTTGTTGACGGGTGGGAGATGAGTGAAGTATCCGGGGATGTAGCTCAAATGGTAGAGCGCTCGCTTAGCATGCGAGAGGTACAGGGATCGATACCCTGCTTCTCCAGGCGTGTGTAGTATAGTGGTCAGTACCTCACCTTGTGGCGGTGAAATCCCTGGTTCGAATCCGGGCACGCGCACTCTTATGCTCATTATGCTGCTTTTACGTGCGCGTTATGGACGCTGCGCCGCCCCTAGCCGTCGCCATGCACACCCGCCACGCTCTCGGTCCCCAATTACCGCTTTTTGTCGCCTTTCAGCCTACCGGCGTGAGCGGTCCCGGCCGCTCTCCTTTTATCGCCCTCACGACGACACTGCTGCGGTGCGACTCGATGGCATTGTCTTGTGGCTCGGTCTAGTAACGTAGTGGAGCTGTAGTACCTCCCGCGTCGTCGGAGCTCACCAGGCCACCGGAGAGAGTGGATGAAGCGCCCCGAATGGCCGTCCTGGCAGTAGGAGGGTCGTCGGGCGGACAGAGTCGTTGTGCCGTCCAAGTCGCTCCGGCGCGAGCCAAAGAGGCGGAACACGCAGCGGACGAGCTCACGGTCGAGTTGTGGAGGCTGAGCGCGCCGTGCGCGAGGCGGCATGTGTGGAAAGAGCGTGCGATCGGTTTGGGCCGTGCGGAGGCATGCACGCGAGTTTTGGTGTGCGGATTGTGCGTAACGGAGGCGCGATGGGTGGTTGACGATTGCGGTACGGCGGAGAGTGCGTGGTAGCGTGTGGTGCGTCCGTAAAGTGGATTTTGTTGACGGGTGGGAGATGAGTGAAGTATCCGGGGATGTAGCTCAAATGGTAGAGCGCTCGCTTAGCATGCGAGAGGTACAGGGATCGATACCCTGCTTCTCCAGGCGTGTGTAGTATAGTGGTCAGTACCTCACCTTGTGGCGGTGAAATCCCTGGTTCGAATCCGGGCACGCGCACTCTTATGCTCATTATGCTGCTTTTACGTGCGCGTTATGGACGCTGCGCCGCCCCTAGCCGTCGCCATGCACACCCGCCACGCTCTCGGTCCCCAATTACCGCTTTTTGTCGCCTTTCAGCCTACCGGCGTGAGCGGTCCCGGCCGCTCTCCTTTTATCGCCCTCACGACGACACTGCTGCGGTGCGACTCGATGGCATTGTCTTGGGGCTCGGTCTAGTAACGTAGTGGAGCTGTAGTACCTCCCGCGTCGTCGGAGCTCACCAGGCCACCGGAGAGAGTGGATGAAGCGCCCCGAATGGCCGTCCTGGCAGTAGGAGGGTCGTCGGGCGGAGCCGTCCAAGTCGCTCCGGCGCGAGCCAAAGAGGCGGAACACGCAGCGGACGAGCTCACGGTCGGGTTGTGGAGGCTGAGCGCGCCGTGCGCGAGGCGGCATGTGTGGAAAGAGCGTGCGATCGGTTTGGGCCGTGCGGAGGCATGTACGCGAGTTTTGGTGTGCGGATTGTGCGTAACGGAGGCGCGATGGGTGGTTGACGATTGCGGTACGGCGGAGAGTGCGTGGTAGCGTGTGGTGCGTCCGTAAAGTGGATTTTGTTGACGGGTGGGAGACGAGTAAAGTATCCGGGGATGTAGCTCAAATGGTAGAGCGCTCGCTTAGCATGCGAGAGGTACAGGGATCGATACCCTGCTTCTCCAGGCGTGTGTAGTATAGTGGTCAGTACCTCACCTTGTGGCGGTGAAATCCCTGGTTCGAATCCGGGCACGCGCACTCTTATGCTCATTATGCTGCTTTTACGTGCGCGTTATGGACGCTGCGCCGCCCCTAGCCGTCGCCATGCACACCCGCCACGCTCTCGGTCCCCAATTACCGCTTTTTGTCGCCTTTCAGCCTACCGGCGTGAGCGGTCCCGGCCGCTCTCCTTTTATCGCCCTCACGACGACACTGCTGCGGTGCGACTCGATGGCATTGTCTTGGGGCTCGGTCTAGTAACGTAGTGGAGCTGTAGTACCTCCCGCGTCGTCGGAGCTCACCAGGCCACCGGAGAGAGTGGATGAAGCGCCCCGAATGGCCGTCCTGGCAGTAGGAGGGTCGTCGGGCGGAGCCGTCCAAGTCGCTCCGGCGCGAGCCAAAGAGGCGGAACACGCAGCGGACGAGCTCACGGTCGAGTTGTGGAGGCTGAGCGCGCCGTGCGCGAGGCGGCATGTGTGGAAAGAGCGTGCGATCGGTTTGGGCCGTGCGGAGGCATGCACGCGAGTTTTGGTGTGCGGATTGTGCGTAACGGAGGCGCGATGGGTGGTTGACGATTGCGGTACGGCGGAGAGTGCGTGGTAGCGTGTGGTGCGTCCGTAAAGTGGATTTTGTTGACGGGTGGGAGATGAGTGAAGTATCCGGGGATGTAGCTCAAATGGTAGAGCGCTCGCTTAGCATGCGAGAGGTACAGGGATCGACACCCTGCTTCTCCAGGCGTGTGTAGTATAGTGGTCAGTACCTCACCTTGTGGCGGTGAAATCCCTGGTTCGAATCCGGGCACGCGCACTCTTATGCTCATTATGCTGCTTTTACGTGCGCGTTATGGACGCTGCGCCGCCCCTAGCCGTCGCCATGCACACCCGCCACGCTCTCGGTCCCCAATTACCGCTTTTTGTCGCCTTTCAGCCTACCGGCGTGAGCGGTCCCGGCCGCTCTCCTTTTATCGCCCTCACGACGACACTGCTGCGGTGCGACTCGATGGCATTGTCTTGGGGCTCGGTCTAGTAACGTAGTGGAGCTGTAGTACCTCCCGCGTCGTCGGAGCTCACCAGGCCACCGGAGAGAGTGGATGAAGCGCCCCGAATGGCCGTCCTGGCAGTAGGAGGGTCGTCGGGCGGAGCCGTCCAAGTCGCTCCGGCGCGAGCCAAAGAGGCGGAACACGCAGCGGACGAGCTCACGGTCGAGTTGTGGAGGCTGAGCGCGCCGTGCGCGAGGCGGCATGTGTGGAAAGAGCGTGCGATCGGTTTGGGCCGTGCGGAGGCATGCACGCGAGTTTTGGTGTGCGGATTGTGCGTAACGGAGGCGCGATGGGTGGTTGACGATTGCGGTACGGCGGAGAGTGCGTGGTAGCGTGTGGTGCGTCCGTAAAGTGGATTTTGTTGACGGGTGGGAGATGAGTGAAGTATCCGGGGATGTAGCTCAAATGGTAGAGCGCTCGCTTAGCATGCGAGAGGTACAGGGATCGATACCCTGCTTCTCCAGGCGTGTGTAGTATAGTGGTCAGTACCTCACCTTGTGGCGGTGAAATCCCTGGTTCGAATCCGGGCACGCGCACTCTTATGCTCATTATGCTGCTTTTACGTGCGCGTTATGGACGCTGCGCCGCCCCTAGCCGTCGCCATGCACACCCGCCACGCTCTCGGTCCCCAATTACCGCTTTTTGTCGCCTTTCAGCCTACCGGCGTGAGCGGTCCCGGCCGCTCTCCTTTTATCGCCCTCACGACGACACTGCTGCGGTGCGACTCGATGGCATTGTCTTGGGGCTCGGTCTAGTAACGTAGTGGAGCTGTAGTACCTCCCGCGTCGTCGGAGCTCACCAGGCCACCGGAGAGAGGGGATGAAGCGCCCCGAATGGCCGTCCTGGCAGTAGGAGGGTCGTCGGGCGGACAGTCGTTGTGCCGTCCAAGTCGCTCCGGCGCGAGCCAAAGAGGCGGAACACGCAGCGGACGAGCTCACGGTCGGGTTGTGGAGGCTGAGCGCGCCGTGCGCGAGGCGGCATGTGTGGAAAGAGCGTGCGATCGGTTTGGGCCGTGCGGAGGCATGTACGCGAGTTTTGGTGTGCGGATTGTGCGTAACGGAGGCGCGATGGGTGGTTGACGATTGCGGTACGGCGGAGAGTGCGTGGTAGCGTGTGGTGCGTCCGTAAAGTGGATTTTGTTGACGGGTGGGAGACGAGTAAAGTATCCGGGGATGTAGCTCAAATGGTAGAGCGCTCGCTTAGCATGCGAGAGGTACAGGGATCGATACCCTGCTTCTCCAGGCGTGTGTAGTATAGTGGTCAGTACCTCACCTTGTGGCGGTGAAATCCCTGGTTCGAATCCGGGCACGCGCACTCTTATGCTCATTATGCTGCTTTTACGTGCGCGTTATGGACGCTGCGCCGCCCCTAGCCGTCGCCATGCACACCCGCCACGCTCTCGGTCCCCAATTACCGCTTTTTGTCGCCTTTCAGCCTACCGGCGTGAGCGGTCCCGGCCGCTCTCCTTTTATCGCCCTCACGACGACACTGCTGCGGTGCGACTCGATGGCATTGTCTTGGGGCTCGGTCTAGTAACGTAGTGGAGCTGTAGTACCTCCCGCGTCGTCGGAGCTCACCAGGCCACCGGAGAGAGGGGATGAAGCGCCCCGAATGGCCGTCCTGGCAGTAGGAGGGTCGTCGGGCGGACAGAGTCGTTGTGCCGTCCAAGTCGCTCCGGCGCGAGCCAAAGAGGCGGAACACGCAGCGGACGAGCTCACGGTCGGGTTGTGGAGGCTGAGCGCGCCGTGCGCGAGGCGGCATGTGTGGAAAGAGCGTGCGATCGGTTTGGGCCGTGCGGAGGCATGTACGCGAGTTTTGGTGTGCGGATTGTGCGTAACGGAGGCGCGATGGGTGGTTGACGATTGCGGTACGGCGGAGAGTGCGTGGTAGCGTGTGGTGCGTCCGTAAAGTGGATTTTGTTGACGGGTGGGAGACGAGTAAAGTATCCGGGGATGTAGCTCAAATGGTAGAGCGCTCGCTTAGCATGCGAGAGGTACAGGGATCGACACCCTGCTTCTCCAGGCGTGTGTAGTATAGTGGTCAGTACCTCACCTTGTGGCGGTGAAATCCCTGGTTCGAATCCGGGCACGCGCACTCTTATGCTCATTATGCTGCTTTTACGTGCGCGTTATGGACGCTGCGCCGCCCCTAGCCGTCGCCATGCACACCCGCCACGCTCTCGGTCCCCAATTACCGCTTTTTGTCGCCTTTCAGCCTACCGGCGTGAGCGGTCCCGGCCGCTCTCCTTTTATCGCCCTCACGACGACACTGCTGCGGTGCGACTCGATGGCATTGTCTTGGGGCTCGGTCTAGTAACGTAGTGGAGCTGTAGTACCTCCCGCGTCGTCGGAGCTCACCAGGCCACCGGAGAGAGGGGATGAAGCGCCCCGAATGGCCGTCCTGGCAGTAGGAGGGTCGTCGGGCGGACAGAGTCGTTGTGCCGTCCAAGTCGCTCCGGCGCGAGCCAAAGAGGCGGAACACGCAGCGGACGAGCTCACGGTCGGGTTGTGGAGGCTGAGCGCGCCGTGCGCGAGGCGGCATGTGTGGAAAGAGCGTGCGATCGGTTTGGGCCGTGCGGAGGCATGTACGCGAGTTTTGGTGTGCGGATTGTGCGTAACGGAGGCGCGATGGGTGGTTGACGATTGCGGTACGGCGGAGAGTGCGTGGTAGCGTGTGGTGCGTCCGTAAAGTGGATTTTGTTGACGGGTGGGAGATGAGTGAAGTATCCGGGGATGTAGCTCAAATGGTAGAGCGCTCGCTTAGCATGCGAGAGGTACAGGGATCGACACCCTGCTTCTCCAGGCGTGTGTAGTATAGTGGTCAGTACCTCACCTTGTGGCGGTGAAATCCCTGGTTCGAATCCGGGCACGCGCACTCTTATGCTCATTATGCTGCTTTTACGTGCGCGTTATGGACGCTGCGCCGCCCCTAGCCGTCGCCATGCACACCCGCCACGCTCTCGGTCCCCAATTACCGCTTTTTGTCGCCTTTCAGCCTACCGGCGTGAGCGGTCCCGGCCGCTCTCCTTTTATCGCCCTCACGACGACACTGCTGCGGTGCGACTCGATGGCATTGTCTTGGGGCTCGGTCTAGTAACGTAGTGGAGCTGTAGTACCTCCCGCGTCGTCGGAGCTCACCAGGCCACCGGAGAGAGGGGATGAAGCGCCCCGAATGGCCGTCCTGGCAGTAGGAGGGTACAGTCGTTGTGCCGTCCAAGTCGCTCCGGCGCGAGCCAAAGAGGCGGAACACGCAGCGGACGAGCTCACGGTCGGGTTGTGGAGGCTGAGCGCGCCGTGCGCGAGGCGGCATGTGTGGAAAGAGCGTGCGATCGGTTTGGGCCGTGCGGAGGCATGTACGCGAGTTTTGGTGTGCGGATTGTGCGTAACGGAGGCGCGATGGGTGGTTGACGATTGCGGTACGGCGGAGAGTGCGTGGTAGCGTGTGGTGCGTCCGTAAAGTGGATTTTGTTGACGGGTGGGAGATGAGTGAAGTATCCGGGGATGTAGCTCAAATGGTAGAGCGCTCGCTTAGCATGCGAGAGGTACAGGGATCGATACCCTGCTTCTCCAGGCGTGTGTAGTATAGTGGTCAGTACCTCACCTTGTGGCGGTGAAATCCCTGGTTCGAATCCGGGCACGCGCACTCTTATGCTCATTATGCTGCTTTTACGTGCGCGTTATGGACGCTGCGCCGCCCCTAGCCGTCGCCATGCACACCCGCCACGCTCTCGGTCCCCAATTACCGCTTTTTGTCGCCTTTCAGCCTACCGGCGTGAGCGGTCCCGGCCGCTCTCCTTTTATCGCCCTCACGACGACACTGCTGCGGTGCGACTCGATGGCATTGTCTTGGGGCTCGGTCTAGTAACGTAGTGGAGCTGTAGTACCTCCCGCGTCGTCGGAGCTCACCAGGCCACCGGAGAGAGGGGATGAAGCGCCCCGAATGGCCGTCCTGGCAGTAGGAGGGTACAGTCGTTGTGCCGTCCAAGTCGCTCCGGCGCGAGCCAAAGAGGCGGAACACGCAGCGGACGAGCTCACGGTCGGGTTGTGGAGGCTGAGCGCGCCGTGCGCGAGGCGGCATGTGTGGAAAGAGCGTGCGATCGGTTTGGGCCGTGCGGAGGCATGTACGCGAGTTTTGGTGTGCGGATTGTGCGTAACGGAGGCGCGATGGGTGGTTGACGATTGCGGTACGGCGGAGAGTGCGTGGTAGCGTGTGGTGCGTCCGTAAAGTGGATTTTGTTGACGGGTGGGAGATGAGTGAAGTATCCGGGGATGTAGCTCAAATGGTAGAGCGCTCGCTTAGCATGCGAGAGGTACAGGGATCGACACCCTGCTTCTCCAGGCGTGTGTAGTATAGTGGTCAGTACCTCACCTTGTGGCGGTGAAATCCCTGGTTCGAATCCGGGCACGCGCACTCTTATGCTCATTATGCTGCTTTTACGTGCGCGTTATGGACGCTGCGCCGCCCCTAGCCGTCGCCATGCACACCCGCCACGCTCTCGGTCCCCAATTACCGCTTTTTGTCGCCTTTCAGCCTACCGGCGTGAGCGGTCCCGGCCGCTCTCCTTTTATCGCCCTCACGACGACACTGCTGCGGTGCGACTCGATGGCATTGTCTTGGGGCTCGGTCTAGTAACGTAGTGGAGCTGTAGTACCTCCCGCGTCGTCGGAGCTCACCAGGCCACCGGAGAGAGGGGATGAAGCGCCCCGAATGGCCGTCCTGGCAGTAGGAGGGTCGTCGGGCGGACAGAGTCGTTGTGCCGTCCAAGTCGCTCCGGCGCGAGCCAAAGAGGCGGAACACGCAGCGGACGAGCTCACGGTCGGGTTGTGGAGGCTGAGCGCGCCGTGCGCGAGGCGGCATGTGTGGAAAGAGCGTGCGATCGGTTTGGGCCGTGCGGAGGCATGTACGCGAGTTTTGGTGTGCGGATTGTGCGTAACGGAGGCGCGATGGGTGGTTGACGATTGCGGTACGGCGGAGAGTGCGTGGTAGCGTGTGGTGCGTCCGTAAAGTGGATTTTGTTGACGGGTGGGAGATGAGTGAAGTATCCGGGGATGTAGCTCAAATGGTAGAGCGCTCGCTTAGCATGCGAGAGGTACAGGGATCGATACCCTGCTTCTCCAGGCGTGTGTAGTATAGTGGTCAGTACCTCACCTTGTGGCGGTGAAATCCCTGGTTCGAATCCGGGCACGCGCACTCTTATGCTCATTATGCTGCTTTTACGTGCGCGTTATGGACGCTGCGCCGCCCCTAGCCGTCGCCATGCACACCCGCCACGCTCTCGGTCCCCAATTACCGCTTTTTGTCGCCTTTCAGCCTACCGGCGTGAGCGGTCCCGGCCGCTCTCCTTTTATCGCCCTCACGACGACACTGCTGCGGTGCGACTCGATGGCATTGTCTTGGGGCTCGGTCTAGTAACGTAGTGGAGCGGTAGTACCTCCCGCGTCGTCGGAGCTCACCAGGCCACCGGAGAGAGTGGATGAAGCGCCCCGAATGGCCGTCCTGGCAGTAGGAGGGTCGTCGGGCGGACAGTCGTTGTGCCGTCCAAGTCGCTCCGGCGCGAGCCAAAGAGGCGGAACACGCAGCGGACGAGCTCACGGTCGAGTTGTGGAGGCTGAGCGCGCCGTGCGCGAGGCGGCATGTGTGGAAAGAGCGTGCGATCGGTTTGGGCCGTGCGGAGGCATGTACGCGAGTTTTGGTGTGCGGATTGTGCGTAACGGAGGCGCGATGGGTGGTTGACGAT